TTCCAGTGCTGACAGTACGCTATTAGAATTAATGTCATCTGCCTGCAGGTCCCACATTCCTCTGTGCGGGTGGTGCGGCTGCAGGTATTTGTGCGGGTCCCACAGCTGCACCACCCGCACAAATGTGAACCAGGGGTTATGGATGGAACAGTCTGACATCTCCAGTGCGTGGGAATGTCCATTCTAACTGAAATAACCATTTGTATAGCAAGTGATTTCATTTATTGCCTGTCCAGAAGAGATGAATGATGTAATAAAAACTTAGTAGGGGAGAAATCGAGATAGACAATGATTACATCTAAAATGATCTGGTGGACTTGTTGCCAATATGACTGGAGCAGAGGGCAGGGTCACCAAAAGTGGAGTAATGTACCTTCAGACAGCGCCAACACTGACTTGGCATGGAATGATAAAAGTTATGAAATAAAGATGGCATTGCCAATGGGTACAGGGTTTATAAATGTTTTCTTGGGTGTTAACATTTAGTGATGTTTTGTGATTCCAGTTATATATGCAGTACGTTCCTAATCCTTGTCAGAAAGTTTCATCCCAAAATCAGTTTCCCACTGTCTGCATTGATGACGCAAGTTTGCAGAGATTTGAATAGACAGCTAGGACTGTACTGTAGATATAAGATGTCTCTGTGGGGAAAGATTATTGTCTTAATTTATCTGTCTTAGACAGTCTTGGACAATCCCTTCCAGTGCTGTTAGATAGTACTCTCATATTCCTATAAAAAGGTCAATTGCCCAATATGTCCCTAAAAACGGGCAGGAGGTACCCTGAGAACTGTCCAAGTTCCAGTCATAATGAAGAGCTCTCCTAGACCATGGGCCTGATGATGACCTGCCTCTTACACCCATTGGTTGCTATAACCAATAAGTCATGTCTTCTTGGCATTGTGTGTAGATGTGTTTTACATGCAGTGCCGGATTAAACTCTGTGAAAGCCCTTAGGCAGTTGAAACCTTGGAACCCCCATCTGAGGTTTCTGGAGGTTTCTCATGTGTGGGCTCTAGTGGGATAACATTAAGCTAAGTAGTGTGCTCGTTGACTGCTAGATGGAAATGACCATCACTACTGTATATGTCGGTAGGTTGTACCAAAATTTTTTTACAAACTGAAGATGATCTTTAAGAGACAAAGTGTAATGCGAACCTAATGCCTATGGTTTATGTACTTCAAGCTGTTATTGGGAACAGTATTTTCTCTATAGAGTCTTAATTTGAAGTTTTTGTTTCTTTGAGTTAATTTTTTCTATCTTTTGTAAACAATTTAACAAAGCTTTATTGTAATTTCTTTCAAGATCAAATAAAAAATATTTTATCTGTTGTTGCCTTTAACCACTTGTCCTCCAATGTATTTACCCCCCTTCCTGACCAGGCCATTGTTTGCATTACGGCACTGCATTACTTTAACTGACCATTGCGCGGTCATGCAACACTGTACCCAAATTAAATTTACATCCTTTTTTCCGATGAATTGAGCTTTCTTTCAGTGGTATTTGATCGCCTGTGTGTTTTTTATTTTTTGCGCTATAAAAAAAAAATCCGACAATTTTGAAAAAAAAAAACAATATTTTTGACTTTTTGCTATTAAACATATCCAGTAAAAAATTTTAAAAATCAGATTTCATTATAAATTTAGGCCAAAATATATTCTGCTACATGTCTTTGCTAAATAAAATCTCAATACATGTAAATTAATTGGTTTACATTAAAGTTATAGCATTTACAAATGGCGGTATAGATACTGGAATTTTTTTTTCTTTATTAGTAATGGCGGCGATCAGCGACATATAGTGGGACTGCAGTGGGCATTCTGACACTGGGGGGAACTGACTTGGTGTCACTGACATCCCTAGTGACACCAATACAGTGATCAGTGCTAAAAAAAAGCACTGACACTGTAATAATGGCACTGGGGAGGAAGGGGTTAACAGGAGGGGTGATCAAAGCCATCCAAAGCAGTATGCCCGAGCTGACAGGGAGGAGGACTGTTAGTAACCAAAACAGTCCTCCCCATCGTATATGCTCCGCAATTACCGGGCGACAGCGGGTAATCACCGGGCGATGGCGGGTAATCACCGGCCGGGACCTGGTGGTTGACAGCCATGGCCGCAAAATGCAAAATCACGTCTACGCAAAAAATGTCGTGGTCAGGAAGGGGGGTAGATACTCAGGAGGGCAAGTGGTTAAGGGAATGCAGTTTTTGATGACATTATACCTCATCTCTAAAGTAATAACTGCTGATCCTGCTATAAAGGCCCTTATTCAGGTACTACCTGTTTTTGGATACTGATGTGAAAGAGGCTTTAATGAAAGCTGCTGGTGTGTGTCCCATCTTCCATTGGTTACAGTATTTTATATCTCTCAGGGATGTCAGTGATGTTCTGTACCTGGCTCTGCTGCCTTCATCTTGTTGCTTTACCTGTTGAGTCTGAAGTAGGTATAAGACCACATTACGGGGACTGCAGTGCGGTGATTCTCTCTGTGTCCTTATGAACCAGTTTGCTTCTCCACTCATGGACGGCGCGTAGTCACCATAGAGATCATTCATCTTTTGCAGCAAAATGAAGAAATACTGTATAAGAAAACAAACATTCCTTCAACTTTCCTCTGAAGCTGAAATACTTTTACATAGTTTTATTACAAAGTAAACTTTAATGTGAAACATTTTAACTATTAGGAGTAGCAGAAAAGAAAAACACTGCATATATGTGTTCCCCAAGGGACCAGAAAACAGCTCATTAAATGTACAGTTTCTCTAGCAGTTTCTAAAGTTTCCAGCTTTGGCAGCTTAAAAAAAACAGTACCCCTTTGCAGAGATTAAAAAGTCATTTTGGTAACAGCCTTGCACAGGACCGCAAACACTTTTAACAACTTTTTTATTTCTTAGGGAGCAATTTTCATCTTCTATGTTTAAGATGTTCTATCATTCCTTTATATTTTTTGGCTTTCTTATTTGTAACCTAAAACAGCAAGTTCAAATTCCATTTCAGCAACTTTTCCCAAGAGGCTGGCGAGGTTTTTGCAGGGGACACAATCAAGCGGAAGGAAACACAAAGAGAACATTTGCGTCAGGCTCTACAGCGTCCCAACAGCATCATGAAAACAACATACATAATGCATTTGGCAGTCAGCTCTGTTTGACAGCTGCTTTGCAGATGTATCAGTGACCTTGCCATTCCCATGTCACCAGAGCACCATGCTAAAGTAGTATACCAACAACTGGAAGTTAGATAGATTGATCAGCTTCCATCTAGATCTGACCTACATGGGACCTTGTTGGTGATCCCATTATCTGCTGATGCAAGCTTGAACTAGGGTGCTGTCCTACGCTGACAATGAAATGTTCTCCTGCAGTTTTCCTCCCTGACCCATTTTCATTCCTTGAACAACTGGACCTTTATCAGAAATGTAAACTAATGTTTTATACTGTATACCTTCTTTCTTTCCCTGTAATAGCAGGACTAAAAAAGTGCATTCTTAAAATATTTTAAGCTTTTTAATCAAGTAATTATGAGCTATTGCATGCAAATATTGTGGATGATCATATCCAGCAATCAGATGGTGTTAAAGTCCTTTTCACGTTACCATATTAGCTATTAAATGTGTGTAGCGCTCACCCCCGAAGGAGTCGCTGAATCATGGGGACCCCATTATATCCTGCACAGCCAGGCAACAAACATTTTCAGTAACCAGTCTATGAGCTTGTATTGGTTGTTTTATTTAAGGGATACACAACTTGGATAGGTTAGGGGTATATATGATGCCCAACTTGACTTGCAGTAATAACTTTGAGGACAAACTTCATAAATCTGTAAAAAAAAAATGTAGATCCTGAACTTTCTACTCCAGCCGGAGTGGCACAGTCTCTTAATAAATCAATAGCACAGTCTCTGTGAGGAGCATCTGGTCCCCTCTAAGTGAATTGTCTTCAGACCCTGGCTAGGAAATGCGCATCCACCTGGCTGTTTTTTGAAGAATATGCTGGAGCAAGAGATTCCAAGACAGGCATGCAGCACTCTCCCAGGGAGAACTGGTTGAGTCTTGCACCAGTAGGCCCCATGGGTGTAGAGGTACTCACACTGTCCTTGTATACTGTAGCTCTGGGTAAACTACATTCAGACCTCTCAGTGAGCCAGTTTCTGTCTCTGCTTGTACGCTGTCCTTCCCCAGCAGACTGTAATTCAGTGGAGCTCCCTCTGTCCGCTTTCTTTCTTCCATCCTCCAGCCTGGAGGCAGAACCCCTCTTATCCAGGGTCCCCTCCCAGGCTACATAACAGCATCTTTAGTAATCCATCTTCCACCTGACTCCCCTGCTGGCATTGCTCTCTCACATTTATGGACCGGTGTTCCCACACTGTCAGGAGCTCCTGCTTGAGATTGGTCAGACTGCCATGAATATGCAGATCCAGGTCTCCACCCCTCCACCCATTAACTCCAGGACCTCCAGAACCAGTGGGAGGCATTAATGGCATTAATGGCCCAACCTGCTGAGTCATTCAGCCTAAAGTGGACTTGACCCCTACTCAAACATGCTCACTCCAACTACTGAGTGAGTCATTAAATTTACCTAACTGTCTAGCAACACTAGAGGGTGCTACATGTGTAATTTGAATTGATCCAGAGGAAAGGGAATTAGGAGGGCAGAAGGAAGGAGGAAAGGAAAGAAGGAAGGAATAGTTGGATAAGGGGAAGGAAAGGGAAAGAAAAATAAAGGAGTATCTAAACTAATTACAAATTAAATTGAAATTAAATCTAAAAAGCATTAAACCTATGTAGAACAGTCAGAATCAAAATCAAGCTCAATTGCATTTCAAAGATTTTAAATTCCGTAAGTGAAATATACAGATAAAACACTTATGTTTATGAACTGCAATAATTTGCCAAGGATTTATAGTCGCAATCAGTCTTGTGATCAAGGCACCCCTACTAGACAGTACAGTCTTACCCAGGACCTGCCCTAACTATTGACTGATCAATAATGTTGAAGCAGTACAGTACTGAGCAGGGGCGGACTGACAACTCATGGGGCCCCCGGGCAATAGGGGATCATGGGGCCCCCGTGTCCTTGCCCAAACTCAAAAAAGCCTATGAAAAATTTACTGGGGCATCTCATGAGGCCCCCTACTGACCCCGGGCCCTTGGGCAGTGCCCGAGTTTCCAAATGGTCAGTCCGCCCCTGGTACTGAGCTTATCTTCTTGACCTCCCCACCATTACACATACAGGAAATTGGCTCAAAGCTCTGCCCCTCTCCATTCCAGTGTGAGTTCAGCAATGCAGATCATTATGGAAAGCATGGAGTTTAACTTCAATGGGAAAGAACAGGTTTTCGCTCAGTTTTATCTATATATTTTTTTTAAGTTAATGTATGTGCAGTATTCAAATGGATTTTGTCATTTTTTGATCATGAAACTTGATTTTACATGTAGCACCCTCCTAGTTTAGCTAGGGGGAGCTAGAGTCCTGATTGTTAGTAAGGAAGGCTGAGTAGCAGCCTGGGTGTAATAGACAGAGGGTCCAGTTGTGGTCAGGTGCTGAGAGGCTCTGCAGGCCAGCCCGTCTGGAATTTCCCCCTGCTCTAGGGCTTTTGGCCCTAGAGGCAGTTGTTGAATCTGAGGAGTGGCTGGCTTGTATCTTGAGGGATTCTGGCCAATCCACAACAGGAGGTCGGAAAGGGTCCAGGACATCCTTAAAAGTGTTGGAGCCTGCTCAGCTGGAGGAGAGTTTGGGTGGAAGAGAGTGAGGAAGAAGTGAGAGCCGGAAAGCAGGAGGCTGCAAGGATGCCCAATGGGATGGGGCCTACCTTCAGGCTTGGAACTGGAAAGCTCAGAGCTCACTGGTCCCCAGAGCAAGGACCACCTGTATGGCAGGGAAGGAGCGGCCCAGCTAAAAGTCCTGGTAGAAGCCAGCAACCCATCAGCGGTACAGGAGAGGATCTGAGTGAGTACCCCTGCACCCCCTGGGCGGATAGGGGAAGGAGCACTCAGGTGGGAAAGCAGATTCACTGCCTACTTGGGACAGTCCGCTTTTAAAGTAACATACACCAGATCCTCTGTTCAGGGATACCTCCAGATTGCTGGGTGAAGAAGAGGATTTCATCTAGGGTCTGGGGTGGTACATTAAGGAGATGCTGGCTAGCTCTCTAATTGAGACTGTGCTGCAGAGAAGCTTGTGCATAGTTCTAGGAAAGTTGTCCTCAGTTTGTCAGTTTCCCTGGGTATCCTGTACACCCCTAACCCTATCCCAGTTCAATTCCCCTAAATAAAACAATAAAACCAAAGCTCAAGAACTGATTTCTGAATCTGGAGGCAAGTCTTGGTGAAGATGCGTGATGCCTGGCTGTGCAGGACTATAGGGGAACACTAAATTTCTAGAAACTCCTAAGGGGTGCTACATATAAATACATTTTTAACACAGTCTGAATATATGTTATTCAGTTTGCAGATTGTTTAGGGCATTCTAACAGGAAAAGCCATGCTTATCAGAGAGAAAACAGTACTTGCTGTTTCTAAGGAAGAATAATACATTGCTGTGGTCATATCTCCATATCCTGGGAGATATTCACCCTTCCAATGCACTTTTGTAGCAAGGTTGTTGATTCACTCCTTATCACCACTGAAAAAACATTTTCTTTTACCTGTCTCAAAAAGGCCTGTAATTGGATTACCTACCAATATCATACAATCAAACACGCAGTTGTGGAGTGGGAAAAACGCATGGTGAGCCATGTCTTTACCAAACCCCCTTAAGCTGCAAAAGAAGCAGAGATGGGTGTACACATGCCGCAGCCACAATACTTCACGGTGTGATGAAAATGATACCCGTCATGCTCGGTGGAAAATAATGTCTGCTAAGCGTAATCAATTTAGTGGATTAGAGCTGCACCACGAACACCCCACAACTGTGTGCAATGCTAGGTCCTCTTCTATATTTTAGCTGTGCCTAAAGTGGTTCCTATGCCTGGGAACCTGCGAATAGCCTTAATTCATAAATGTTACAATGTATTTGTCCTTTGATCTGTACCTAAAAAACTATGGCCTCCTACTATACTGTAGTAGAACTATGGCCTCCTGTTATAAACATTTTCCTCAGTCCTTCCTGCAATATCTGCAAAATACCTGTTGATCCTGCCAGTACCTTGGGCAGTTTCCTGTGATCATGGTACACTACTCAATGTAATCTGTGAGTTCTATGTAGACTGTGCCTGCTGACACTATGCGAAGATGTTGTGGGGGACATGGCTATCAGGATTGTCATTAATGATTCACAGACCTGTATCTGACCACACCTTGTCCTGCCCAATGCTATCTGGATTGACAGCACTGCTACTGTAACTCTATAAAATCATCAATCCTAATTTGGAATGTGAATAGTGATGAGCTTGGGTTTGGTTCAAACCCAAGTTAGCCCAGGAGTTTCCTATCATTGCTTGACCAATGAGTTGCAGGTGGGAGATTTCCTGTCTGCCCAACTGCCATGCTTGTGCCATCGTTGACTTATTATGGTCACCATGTAGCCATATTAGATCACTGTTGTCACAAGAATCGCTCTCCTTGTATATGTGCTGCTGCAAGGTGGCAAATCTCGCACCAGTATGTCATTGGCCAAGCAATGATAGCCAACTTCCGAGAATGGACTGAGCCTAAGCTCAGCATATGGAGGAACCCAACTCAAGCCTGGGGAGACCATACAAACCCCGTACTTCCAAGTTACCTAGTATTTACGGTCTCTGCTCTGTAGGGTACAATAAGTTCACAGTGTCTTGAGAGCATAAAGAGAGGTGAGAGCTTTCTTAGGTTGTCAACTATGTAACTGTTCAAACTGTGCAGATAATGGTACAGGGGGTGACTCTACGGGTAAATGCCATTTTGGCATAGCACTTTAAATGCTTTAAAAAGGAATATAGTATACTGAAACTTTTCTCTAAAAGACTAATATCAAATATGATCTGAGTTTTGTATTCTAGGAGGAACCAACTCTGCTGTAGAATTATTTAGCAGTCCGGTAAAATATGAATAGTGTATGTGGGCAGAGGGAGAGATTAAGAGATGTTATGACTAAGGCTATAGATGTGTGTTAGGCACAATCTAGCTTAATAAAAAAAGAAAAGCAAGAATGGATCTCAGAGGAAATCCTACAATTCGAAAACATAACTTGCAGAGAATACAGCCTTCAGAAAACAGGAAGTTAACCATGTCGGTTCAAACAAAAGGGTTGAAGATTTAGACAGGCAGGAGCTGGACAAGACTAGCTCACAACTTTAGAAGGCTGGCGAGAAGTGGCATCACTATGGGGGTTCAGGAAGTGTGGACTGAACCCTGTTGACACCTGCCAGAGGGGTGACACCATCCCATCTGTGACAGCACAGCACTAATAGGTGGCTGCCCTGTCCTGCTCCTGTTGTCACTCCACAGCGGTAGGACACTGCACTGCGTTAGGCTAAGGGAAAAGCATATTTTTGCTGGGGGGGGGGGGAGGATATTTGTATAAGGAGTGGAGTGGAGAGGGGATTCGTGCTGAGAAGGGATCTGCTACGTGCCCTGCCAGCACTTACCCTGTCCTCTTGTCTGCTGACCACTGTTCTGTATACTACCCTACTGACCTCTGTCTGCTGCCCTGCTGACCCCCTGTACATTGCCCTGCTGACCTTTGACTGCTGCCCTGTTGACCCTCTGGTCCATTGCCCTGCTGACCCCTGTTCGCTGCCCTGCTGACTCTTGTCCGCTGCCCTGATAAACCTCTGTACACTGCCCTACAAACGAATGGCCTCTATACACTGCCCTACAAACTAATGGCCTCTGTACACTACCCTACAAACTAATGGCCTCTGTACACTGCCCAACAAACTAATGGCCCCTGTACACTGCCCTACAAATGAATGACCCCTGTACACTGCCCTACAAACTGCCAACCCTTTCCTCTGCCCTGCTGACCCCTTGTACACTGCCCTGCCCTAGTGGAGTAAAAATGGTGTGTGTGTGTATACGGGGGGGGGGGGGTGCCATGTTTTACCACACCAGGTGGCACCAACCCTAGTGACACCACCGCTTGACCATTCCTCTCCATTGTTCACTGTTCAATAAAAAACTACATATTTCCATGCAAAAAAATGTACCGCTTTCAGCACAGAAATATGGACATAATCAGACCGCTAGGGAGGCTACAGCTGGCAATTGGCCTGGGCAGAAAGGGGGTGAAAGTGTCCAGTATTGAATTGGTTGAACACTCCTTTGGTGAACTTTGATAACAGTAGTTATTGAATTGCTCACGTTGTGAGTCTTTTTTGAAATGGTTTATTTTATGGCTGAGGCTGCTGGGTAAAGATGGGAATGCTGATGGGGATATCTCACCTTTGGAGCACATGACTGATCCGGCCACCAACTACACAAATGTTAAATATTCATTATGTTAAACAGGGCCTTCAAAAACATTCCGAGATCTACACAGAACTCTGTGGAGGAGTTGTGATGATGATATGACACGATCAAGATAAAATACATCACCGAACCTTCGCTCCTGTGTGAGGATTGAATTTCATCCTTCAATCTACAGATATAATGCAACAATCAATGTTTTCAGCTCTGACTTGCTGCAGAAATATTGTTTATCATATCAATTGTGTTTGGAATTTCCATTTTTTTCTGTTCCTTCTAGGCTACTCAATGAACTAAGCCTATAATCTCCAGAGCTCTACTGCCAATATCCCAAAAGAGAGAGACAGAGAAGACAAAGGATAGCAAAAATAAGCAAGAAAGTGGAGTTATATCTTATTATTGGCTTATTCTCAGATCCCATGTTCAGCCGAATAATTGTACACTGCTCCAAGCCTTCTTTTCTAAGACATTGGCTTATCCACTGAGTCAAAGAGCAATGTGCAAAGTATAGCATACCACAGAAATCAATTAGAATTAATCTTTTTTGATCTGACTAAATTTAAACTTGATTAGCTGTTATGGTTTACTGCATGATGTCCTTCATAGCTGTTCTTTATATAGTCAGTCCACCCAAAAATGAAATTTCAAGTTTTAATCAATGTTGAAGTTAAAGCAACCCCATCAGGGTGAAAAAAATGAAAAAGAGCTGTTATACCTACATCTTCAGTGGCTTGTGCCTCCTCCCTTCCTTCCTCTATGAGCCTCTTCGACACTTCCTGGAGTGTTGAAAGCCTGGATCGCCATCCTCC